CTGTGGTCTAGTAAACACGGTCTTTCAGACGGAGAGAAACTGCTTTCTATCGTCAAAGCTGTCTCCGATTCAAGAAGACAGTTTTTGCTCTTACAATGCGTGGACTGACTTCAATGCTTATGCGTCCATCGTTGCTGATGCAGCTGCCAAGGTAAGTGAATCGATCACCCATCACGATTTTCTCGTTATCAAGGGTTAAAGGATCCTCAAATGACTGGTGGTCTTGCAGCAACGTTTTGCACTTTGAAGGTGCGAAGCGGATGACAAATGATGGGACCACTCTAGAGGTTATTCGGGGTCGATAGTGCCGCCCCAACACCATTAAATAGCAAGACGATATCGTCTGCATAATCAAGATCAACTAACCTTTCACAAAGTAGGACATTAACACCAACATCATGAGGCTCGGTAAGGGAACGCTCCATGATGGAGTCCACGATGAACTTGAACAAAACGGGGAAATCGGACAACACTGACGAATGCCATTTGTTGTCTGAAAGCTACCCGCAGATCACCGTTGACCCTGACGCGGCCTGTGGTATTCAAGTATAAGGCATGCGAAACGTTCACATTTTTCATGGGAACACCTTTTCGCGCAAGTATTTCGAACAGGATGAATCGGTCTACTGAATCGAACGCACTTTTGAAGTCGTGGAACACAGCTAGTGTCGGTCTGCAGTACATGTGGCGCTGCTCTAACACTTGCTGCAGTGAATATATGGTCTATACAGCTCCGTCCAAGCCGGAAACCTGTCTGCTCTTCTCCAATCCGAGATTCGCGTTCTGCTGTGAGGCGACGAACGAGAAATGAGGCTAGTAATTTTGTCGCAACTTGTGTTAGGTTAATACCCCTGTGGTTACACAGTGTGTGCGACTGCCCTTCTTGTTGTTTGCCACTATAATCGACTCACTCTAGTTAGCCGGGACGCTCTCTTCCTTCCAGACATGTTCGAACGCGGTGATCAGTGCTTTGCAGAGACCCTTACCTCCATCCTTTAATAGTGCGGGTGGGAGGGCATCCAAGCCAGCTGCACGAAAACTGTTGAGGGCCGTGACCATATTTCGGACCTCAGCCTCCGATGGAGCCTCTAAACTAACCGTCCATGTCTCATACTGAGTAGGAACTGGTCCGGAAACAGGGGGACAACCGAACTGATTTTGAAAGTGTTCTGCCCAACGAGCCATGCGGCGCTCTATATTGTGTATGTGTCCTCGCGCTGTCTCTGTTTGTCTCACTGACGTCTGGTTTTTTGGTACCAATGGTGCGGGTCAGCTGGAAGAGGTTACGATAATTGCCTACTGCTCCTTCCTCCTCCATTTCTTGCGCCCGACTGGTCCACCAGTCTTCCTTCTCAGCACGTAAGCTCCGTTTTGATCCGCATTTAATAGTCTCTGGTCCCATTCTGTTCAGAGCTAGCCGAGAGTTTTTTTCTGGATTCCAACAGGTTCACCGACCTTAAGGATATCCTGTGACTGTTGCGGTGACGATCGATATTACCACAAGCAGATACCGTGGTGGACAATTGAAAACAATGCTCGCTGCAGTGAAATCGGATGTCGATCTTTTGGGACTCCAGGTTGTGCATGGTGCTCGTCATTATAAAATCCTTGGATCAGTATCTGCCTGAAGCTTGCCTCTTGAGTAGCTGAAATCCGCGACATTCATGAAGCAAGCTCATCCTATCGCAGGAGCTGGCCGGAATAAAGTGAAAGTAAGTAAGCAGCTGTGTCGTGCGCAGTGGCCGAGATGCTATTCCACTGGAGCTCTGTCATTAGGACAATACACACACACTATACACGTTAGCTAGAGGTGGGAAACACCCCAGCTACTGTGCCGCAATACCTAAAAGAAAAAGGAGAATAAAATGCAATAGGTGCAAGCCAGCTGAGCTACCGGTAACGGATGGACATCGTTCCGTTAACTTATCTGCCGGCTACTATGCAGCAGAAAAAAGTAATTTACTGTGCAAAATTATAAAATGCTAACTAATGAGATCGTGGTTGGAGGAGGAGGCTAAGAGAGATGGGGTGGGACAAAGAAACTCACAGCACGAACGCCACTGAGGTTGACTCCTTGCCATATCAGCAAGTGTGTCCAACCAAACGTGTTCATCGCCTTTTGGACCCCAACCAGGGAGCCGAGACGCTGCAACCGAGGCCAGCTCAGAAGTGAGTGTCTTCATTCCTCTGGACCAAGTCATCGCTTGGCCACCTCTCCTCTTCTTCCATCCACACCCCGGCGCGCAAACAACGCACGTCGCGGGAGTCGGTGGGCTGGCATGCGTAACACGTGACCGAGCCATCGGAGTCTGGTGTGTGAAATAACAGTGTTGAGCGGTTCACTTCCTTTTCCTGTGCCGTAAATGAGGCGTCGAGCACGCTCGTTGCTCACGCGGTGTTCCCACCAGATTTGGGCTAAATTGCGAAGGCATCGGTGGTCGAATGTAATTAGCCTCTTTGTGTCCGCTGATCTAAGCGGCCAGGTTTCACAACCGTACAGTAGGGTCGAACCTACTGCTGTATTGTACACTCTTCCCTTCAGGGTGAGAGTGATGTCGCGCCGGCGCCATAAGTGGCGAAGGTTAGCAAAAGCGCCCCGAGCTTTTGCTATACTGTTCGTGATCTCATCTTCAATCCCACGGGCGCTGATACAACTTCCCAGGTAGTTGGATTTTTGAATGAATTCTAGCTGATCCCCACCAAGGGCCAGCGAAGGAGGTGGTCCAGACCAATCTTGGAGGAAAGCTTTGCACTTCGATGGTGCAAAGCAAATAACGAAGCGGCTGACAACCAGTGCTAATCTGTCCAGTGCCGCTTGGCACGTCTGGGAGCTGTCACAGATTAAAGCAATATCATCAGCATACTCTAAGTCAAGAAGTCGTTCTCCTGGGAGCAGGTCCACACCTTCTAAGTCGTGTCCTGTGAACGCGATTTCCATGACTTCGTCAATAGCGAAGTTGAAGAGGAAAGGTGACAGCGGGCATCCTTGTCTCACATTGCTGGAGATATTAAAGGGCGACGACAGCTTGCCGTAAGCCCTCGCTCTGCCTGAATCAATTTCTAGGACAATACATTGAAAGTTCGTTACGTAGTACATCCTGGTATGCTTGCCTGACCGATGGCTGAGATCATTTCTCAGTCACCAATCGACGGGGACGTTTGATACGCCACGGTAAAGTTAATGGAAAACGATAGCGTACCAAGGCGTGATCAAAGTTGGCTACTAATGCTGTGACTCCAGTGGCACTGGGGCTGCTGTCATTCAAGCTGGGAATTATAGAAGGAAGGTTGGTAATAGGAGCAAGAGAAACAGGTGGAAAAGAATGAAGAAAGGCGCCGGCAGTAGCATTTTTTCACTTATCCGCCTTACTATATGCAGCAGATAAGGCGACCCTTATAGTCTGCGCGACGACCTATGAAAAATGCGGTTGAACTTTGAAGAAATAATCATGGTTGTACGCGGGTTGGAGTACTGCCAAGACGCCCAGACCTAGACAGGAGGACGATTAGGGTTCCCAACCAAAACCTTTGGGTTAGTTGCCTGTCCGCATGTTGTAACGCTGCGCTCGCAATCGACCGGTTGATTTACGCCTGCTGCTAAATCTGCGCCCTTACGCGTGCTCTGTTTGACGCCTGGGCAAACCCGACCGCAAGGAAGACAGAAAAAGACTCAGCAGACCAGAGTTCTATTAAGGCAGAGAACGCTCATATTTATATGTCGGTATCACCAGACGGATTTGGCTGTAAGCCCACGCTCCACACATGCTTGTCCGCTCCATCTGTCCAGTTCACCGTCCTGCTCGGGCACTCCAGTCTTCGTCCGCCTACTCGGTGCATGGCAACGCACGTGTTTCCTGACGCGCGATTTCATCAACTTCCGGTCAGGCCTTGGTAGCACACCTGCTGTCTGATGCGCGATTTCATCAGCTTTCGGCTGGGCCGTGGTAACACGTTCGCAGGATCTTTCCAAAGCACGATTGGTGGCAAACGCGCAAGCGTTGGCAATCAGCTTTCTCACCCAGCTGTCACCACAAGGTATCGGGAGGTGGCAGTGATTGTTTTACAAAAACGGTTACCGTCCTATTTCAAACCCCCCTCTAACCGTTGACGAATCTGGTATTAGTAGCTTTGAAGGGGCTCGGGAGCACCACCCAGCATAACGCAGCGGAGATCTAAGGCACGCAAACCGTCTCACTAAGTTAAGGTCCAATCTCCTTGCGACGGACAGTTCAGGATCGGTCGCATGGGACCCAACTGTGCAAGCGGAACGTTTCCAGCCCTCTTTCTCAGTTCAAGCTGACTATCTTCAGTGTTCGGACTTTGATGCAGATGGGATTGCAAGCCGTTCTTTCTGTCACTATAGACACCCTCACCGAACCCCTCTTACAGGACACTAGCACAACCCTACGGCTGGTCTCACCTCTTGCGTGCTCCTAAGGCACATCATGTTAACCTTATCCGGGGACACAGTTGCTAAAGCCGTGGACCAGGATACTCTCGGAATGGCGCTAAGTGTGTACCCCGATGCAGCGCCAATTGTCCGGATCCCGACTCTGTATTTCAGATAAAAGCACGACGCCACTAGACACTTTGTCGTAATGTCATGTACTCCTATGGGTTTCATCTCGGACTCGGACTAGTTCTACTGTCAACGCTGATCTTAAAAACGACACACACATTTGCTGCTCGCCAGTGGGACACAACATAATCATGGTATTCGCTGTACTAATTAACGGTGATCGCCTAAAATTACTAATCGATCTTACCAGTTAATTCTACTTCTGGATATATGCTTATCTGATCTCTTCAGAAGTGCTGTCCTTTTTGGGGCACTCCTAGGAGTTTAGATTATACCTTAGTTCGTTTTTTATCCCTAGAACACAAATTTAACTCAGCAGTCTCCTGAACTCTAGCCAAACAGCCCAGTAGTACTTTTCAGCTAGTTCGCTTGATTTACCATACTATAACCATTTATTTTGGGATTTTTTCAGAGCTTTGACATGTCAAGCGGATCGACTGAGCTGGTTTTGAACATAAAATTCAACGGGAAACATGTCTTAATCGATACCCTGAATCCCGATAACACAGTAGCAGATTTGAAGAATGCTTTATTCGATCGAACCCGCGTTCTTCCGCAAACGCAAAAAATACTCGGTTTACGGACAGTCGAAAGTACGCATTCATTCCACTCCTTATTAGGGCTTTAGACGAACCCATTACGGATTCGCTTCCACTGTCTCGGCTTGTCATTAAACCTAATAGCAAATTGATGCTTATTGGTTCGACGGAGGAGGCCATAGTATGTACATTGGAACCGTTATGCTTCATGCATCACTTTTAAGCTCGATGTGAGTGAATCTTCCTCCACTACGCAAACACCAGAAATTGTGGATGATTTTGATTTCAAAGAAGAAGTTAACATTGGTTTATTGTAAGTGTCTTCCTTGTTAATTGGATTACGAAACAGGCCTGAGAATTTGGAGAAAGTTAAACGGCGAATAAAGGCTTATCAACCCAGAAAACTGTGCGATCCGAGACCCGGTAAACGCCTTTTGGTCCTTGACGTGGACTACACAATATTTGGTAATTTTGTTTTCATGTGAGAGCATGTTCTGTTTATATCTATCTCGCATTTCACATAAGTATTGTTATATCTGGCCTCGGTTTCAAGCTGTCGCAGCGTGTTCCTGCTAGGTATTAATATTGCAGCAACCTGGCTCTTACCTTTTGTTTGTTACTAACAATGTAGATGCGACCCGATGCAGTTAGTAGTGTATAGTTGAAATCCATCATTTTTGCTCATGTTCCCTTTCGAAATCAGTGGTTGCTGTGACGGTTTATCTTCCAGAGATAAGAGGTACAGTGTGATGACCGATTTTTCGTATAAGCTTTCGCTGCATTATGTCGGACAACTTTTAGACAACATACTCTGAGACTTAGCCGCACTACCATCGGTCGTGTCCAATTCTCGATGTATATTACAAGTAGTAGTAGTAATCTCAGCAGTCTATCAACTAGACACAGAGTCAACATAAAACCATGGAGATCAGCGGATAAGGAACTGTCATCGCGTCATAATCATCGTGGCATCGTAGTTGAAGGTGAGCAACACACTTCAGCTTATATGCCGCATGGAGAATGAAACATTTGACAAATAGTGGAACAAAACATTTAATTTGTTTTTCACACGCCGATTTTTCTCTTTTTTCATTTTCAATGTTTGTAGTATTAAATATGTGAATCAATGAAATACTGTACACAATTCTTCCACTGTTTCCGGTTGCGGGCCATGTCTTCAAGAGTGCTAAGCCATTGGCACTCCTCATCTTTGGGTCCCCATCCTGGAAGACCTACGGATCCAACAGCGGCTAGACACGACATCAGCGATTTCATGTTCTGCCGCCAAGTGGAAGGCTGACCACCACGCGGCCGCCTCCAGCCAGGTCCTTGACGAGCAAATAGAGTGCGACGCGGTGAACGCTCAGGTGCCATGCGTAGGACGTGACCGAGCCATCTCAACTGGCGCAACAAAACCAGTTTGTTGAAGGGAAGACTCGCATTCCCCAAAATGCGACGTCGAACGTCATTACTATTAACTCGATGTTGCCACCAAACACGAGCGATCCTCCTTAAGCAACCGTTATCGAAGGCAGAAAGACGACGCATGTCTTCCACGCGAATCTGCCAGGACTCGCTCCCATACAACAATACTGAGCGAACTGATGCGCTGTAAACGCGGCCCTTTTTGCGAGAGTGAGACTTCGCGACGACTCCACAAGTGCCTCAGATGGACAAATGCTGATCGAGCTTTAGCGATGCGAAGAGAAACTTCTTTGTTGATATCACTGTCGGCAGAAACACAGCTCCCAAGGTAGACGAAACTATCTACCCGTTCAAGTTATGCACCTTCAAGAGTGAGCACGGGAGCAGGTGAAAGCCAATCCTTGAGCGACACTTTACACTTCGATGGGGCGAAGCTCATGCCATACTTAGATGCTTCAACCACCAAACGATCCAGAATGAGTTGCATACCCTGAGGATCGTCACCAAGTAAGGCGATATATTATCAGCATAATCTAAGTCGATCGCGCGCTCACCAGGTAGAATCTCTAGGCCAAAATGTTGGAAACCTTCTAGAGCATTCGAC